GGAGTGGGTTTTGTACGGTTTTCTCCAACCGTGGGAATTTGAGGATGTGTGGCCTACACCATGGTGGTGAGGGAATTCTGGGAGTTGAAGTCCACACATCTTCAAGTTCCCAAGGTTGAGAAACACTGGTGTAGTGAATGCTGCAGTGTTCAGGGGTTGGGTCTTGATGGTCTCTTAGGTCTCTTCTAGCTCTATGATTCCAGGGCCACCACACTTTGCCCCCAGTTGTCCTGGCCTGGCTTATCAATACTGGCTGATGGATTTTCATTGCTAAGGGATGACCAGAAATTGCAGGGAGGGGGCAGGGAAGTCATTACGCTGCATTTTCTTCTACTATGTCCACTCTATATGCTGGGAAGGGATGGTGGGCAAATGCAGGTGGACCTGGGTGAGATAATGATTGGCACATCCTGCATTTGACATGGCATTATTCTATACGTGTTAGACTTCCTTGGGGGTTTTAATACTTGCATTTTGTTGGATGGGTGTGATCCAGCCAAAATGGCTGGTTAATATTGAAACTCATAAAATATATCATTATCAAATGAACCTTGTTAGGTCAGACCAGGACAAGCCCCCAAAGTCTTAATTAACTAATAATTCTTTGCCTCCAGTTCTAGCAACCACTGATAGATGTGTAAAAATTCAGAAGAGCCTCCCTCTCTGAAATTCCTCTAGGTCTGGCTCAGGTTCCTAGTTTCTCTTCTGGCAGACAGGTGCCTCTGGCAGGCACACAAGGCACAACTATGTCATCTTACAAAGGTAGACTCTTCTTAGGTGTGGAGGTGCCATCATGACAAAACCCCTTTTATGGGCATCCCAACTTGTTAAAAGACAGACCAATCCTGTGTGCCGATGGCAATCATATTTCTTGAGGCATTGGGCGCTTTAAATTAAATTAAGCTCTGATCATACCAATATCAGTGGGAAGCAATTTGAACATTTAGGGGAGGAGATGTTTTCTCCCATCCATGTCTCATCTGCCTGTTGGTTCTTCCACAGAAGAAATTCCTTCCCTTGATGGTGAAAACAGGTCTCAGCCTGCCATGCTCTGTAGACACAGCAAAATGTGTTTGAAGATGACATCATGTCTCACTTTAGGAAAACGAATTCCTTCTTACAGCAAGCTCTGCCTTTCAAAAGAACCACATCTTCAGACAGCCACCGCTGTAGCCAAGGAGCCCAGCTGAAACTTGGCAAGGGGACGGAAGTACGAAGAAGTGGAGGAGGGATTAAAATTAAGCTCAGGGGGAACTAGTGAGTGTCATGCCCTGAGAGGACGGGGAAAGGGAAGAACATTAATCGAAGCTTCGTGTTTGTGAAATTTATCACTTCAAGCAGCCTTCCCTCTACCTGGTGTATTCCAGAGGTGTTCAACTACCTCTCAGAATCTCCAGCCAGCAGTGGGCATTTTGCTCTAATTTAGTTTTATTCTGTTTTTTAATCACGACATAACTAATATTCCACCCACAAAGCTTCAAGGAATGCATAGAATCATAGAATGTAAGGGACTTTCTAAACCATCTAAACCAGTGTTTTTCAATCTCAGCAACTTCAAGATGCATGAACTTCAACTCCCACAATTCCCCAGCCAGCATGCCGGCTGGGGAATTCTGAGAGTTGAAGTCCATACATCTTAAAGTTGCTGAGATTGAGAAACACTGATCTAAACCGACCTGCCCAGTGCAGGAATCCACTACTACATTGCAGGCTTCTAGGTTGAGAGTTAAGGTTAAGGGAGCGGGACACTTGCATTTTATAACAGTAACTTCTGAAACATATTTGATTTAAAAAAACATAATTGTGGTGTTGAAGGTAGCTCTAGATGGACTCTTGACTTGATGGAGCAGGGATCCTCTTAAATTCTTTCACATCTATCAACTGACATGACTGAATATAGCAAAATTGAAACTCCGTGTACAGGAGCAGCCTACAAGTTATCAAACTCTGGAGACAAATTTGGATTATTACAATGAGGCTACTCTTGAAGACTATCAGCTGGACCAGAAGCAGTGGCTCAAACATTTATGGATGCCTGGTGATTTCTCAGTGCAATTCAAGGTGCCAATTGTCGCCTTTAAAGCCCTTTATTGTTCAGGACCTGGATACTTGTAGGACCACCTTCCACCAGTGGTTTGTGCCCAATCTGGAAGAGCGGGCTTCCTCCAGCTCCTGATAACACAGGCTTTGACCTTATCTTTTCATAAAATGACTAAGACCTGGTAGTTTTAGCAGAACTTCAGGTTCTGAAGAGGTTTTTTTGTTCCTGCAGGAAGTTGAATGGGTAAAAGAATTAGGGGTGTTCCTTGGTGTTGAGTAATCTATATTATTATATTGTGCTTGTTAGTTTTTAATATTATTGCTGATTGGAAATATGCATGTTGCTTAGAGTCAGACATGATTGGAACAGCATATAAGCCTAGTAAAAACGAATGAATGAATGAATGAATGAATGAATCTGGCAGCTACCATTCCATCAAATTGCAGCAGAGGGAGGGATGAGTATTTGGGCCATATCCATCTGCTTCACCAAGAGACCAGCTGGATTGGACTCCAAGTATCTGAAGCGGGTCAAGTGATTGTCGTACCTGAGTTGGAAAATCCGTCCCCTTTCCCAGAAATAAAAATTCAAAAAGACTGCATGACATTATGATCAACAAATTGCTGCCCTTTCACAACATCAAAACCGGATGCCCAAGATAGTGGCTGCCTCATTCTGCCTAATGGGAGGGCCAGCCCAACGCAAATCAGCTGAGTTCAGGGGAGCAAGGAGAGATCAGAGCTCCCATGTACACACCAGATGGGACATCCAGGCTGATAAGAGGAATCCGAATTTGCTTGAGAGTTGCCAAGATTGTGCAGTAGGGCTCTGATAGTTCACCCAGGCTGTCTTCTACACCAAGCATGGCATCAACCACCAGGTTGTATGCATCACTGATTAGTTGAATCTGCCAGAGAGGAAAGGGGAAAGTTGTGTTCACAGCTCCATATTAGTCTTCCTCATTATTTCCAAAATGAAACAGACTTACTAGGAATTCATTATAGTATGCACTTTTTGAAAAAACGTGTCCAGCTTTCTTTCTTTCTTTCTTTCTTTCTTTCTTTCTTTCTTTCTTTCTTTCTTTCTTTCTTTCTT